TAGGTGTGTTTGACTGTGGGGGGAGCTTATAGCACAAAATTAAACAATAATACAATAAGATTTTTTTTCATGTCCTAAGAATAAGAAAAACCTTGAGAAAAAAATCTTGATCAAGGCTTTCATAATTCATGCATCAGAGGGTTAAAGTAGCAGCAGCAGCAACCCAGACTGACAGCAGCTCATTGGATCATTTGAATCACTTGTAGCCTGGTGCCAGACACTCAGGAGGGCTTTACCGTATTAACAGGAGAAGCGGTGCAAGTGAATTTAGACAGTGTTGTAAGACAACATGCCGTAATTTAAATGTTTTAAATCAGGTTGGGTCTGGATTAGCCAGCAGGTGGGGCTGGATCCAGACCATGGTCTGCTAATCCGTGAGCTCTGTGATGGCATTTAAAAAAAGAAGGATTTTTATAAAAAACATAATAATAGTTGTATTAACCATACATGTAAACAGAGTTTGATGGGGCCCTTGACAACTGCCATTTCAAATTGTACTAATTGTTACTTAATATGCTAAAATACACAAGTTCAGACCAGATAAGCCGGTTAAGTAATTAATTTCTGTTGCTGTTTACTTTTTATAGGCATCTATTTCTACAACTTTCACCCGATCTACAAAGTGGATGTTCTTGGAACGGTTGTTTACAAGAGGGAGAGAGACGACTTCTTCTGTTATGGAGGTACTGACACATCCTCTGTGAGATCTACTGTGGAAATTTGATTATTCAGTGTTTTTATTTTGGGAAATCTCAGAATCCATCAGTACCATGATGGTGTCATATACTTTATGGCTGCCTGTCGTCAAACTAATGCTTGAATATTTTGTGTCCACAGTGGATGATGGTACGGGTGTTATAAACTGTCTGTGCTGGAAAAGTAAGCTGCTGAAAGAGGAAGAGGATCCCAATAAATGTGGGTCTAAAAGTGCCTTTAAAATCACTTGTGTGGAGAACTTTTTTTAGCATTGAAACACAGATGTTTATCAGATGCTCTTTAATTCTGTGGTGTTTTTATGTTAAGCAGGGACTAAACACAGTGATGCAGACTTTGGAGGGTTCAATCCGGTGGCCGAGCTCAGGAAACTGCGAGAGGCCCAGCAGAGGCGCTGCCGCCTGGACATCGGAGAGCTGATCAGGGTTCGAGGACCGGTGAAGACATCGAGGCAGCAGAGGGAGATAATGGCTTCCACCTTCTGTGAGTGTCTTCCGCAGACCGCTTACACAGATATAAACACTTCAGTTAACAAAGTGCAGATGTATTTCAGATGGATCGTTTATTTTAAAGCACCTTCACATGATTTCAACTCAAAACACGTTTAGGTACTAGTGTTGCACCGATTTCATTTTTTGGCCCTGATACCAATACCTGGCTGTGCAGTATCGGCCGATACCGATAACATCTGTTTGAAATTGATGTGTGTGTATATATGAAGAACTGCGTACTACTTTGATGTAAAGTAATTACCATCATGGCTTTGTCAAGCTGCTGCCTACCTTTGTGAAGCAGGAAACTGATTAATACACCGATACCGCCCGATACTTCTATTGGTATCGGTACAACACTATTAGATACATGATTAGATAATTAGTAAAATATAAGTAATAAGTGAAATGATGCAGAGAGCAAAATGGCACACGGCGTAATAAAGTTAGTTACGATCTAATATGTAAATGTAAATAATTATATAAATATGAAATATTAATTTAATTAGTGTGTATAGTTTAATATTTTTTAATAATACAATTTTAATAAAGTATATACTTGATCATTTGATCTGTTTAACTTGAAAGCACATGAATGAATAAAGTTTTAGAAATATAAACAAAATGATAAAATCCTTCTAATTCATTTCAGGATTAGATTAATTTGAGAAAATACAGAAATTGAACTGTTCTAATGGGTTCTGGTTAATTTCCATAATTTTATATCTGTATAATTTTTTTTACAATCAATTGTGTACTTAAATATTTATTTGTCAGGCTTTTAGAATGAAGAAAATTTAAATCTGAACATTTTTATAATGTAAAAAAAAAAAAACTAAAGGTAGTTAAATCATTTTATTTGATGATTTAGAATTAAAAATTTTCTGGGAATATAAAACAGCTAAGGGTTTAATGTAAGTAAAATAAATCGATTTGAAGTATAGTCAACTATTTTATTCGATTATTGAACTTCATTGAAACTTGATTTAGTTCAGGTAGATGCAACAAATCAATTTCAATAAACTAATATTTTATGTACTTGCATTTAATTTGGTTATTCAGTTTAAATCACTTATAGTCTCTATGTTAGATATGTTATATATAATTATTTCCTAATATGTAGGTTTCAATCAGAACAAAATGTAAAAAAAAATTAAAGTCAAACTAAATACACACTTGCTTAATAATTCATTTAAATAACCTAAGGTACATATATTATATTACATATTTTCTTTTTTATTTGATAAAAGTCCATTAGAATCTATGACATTAGATTTTGGTCTTAATGTTGATAAAGATGTATGGAGGGAATTTTGTTCCATATTGTTTTAACCAAAGAACAAGTTTTGTAAATGACAATTTGAAAAAAAAGCAACCCAGAACAAAACTCTAAACAAAAAAAATAAATGGTTTTGAAAGTAATTTTGCTGTTTTTGATATGTTTTATATTCTATATTTTTTACATTTTATGTTTATGAGTTGCCTTCTTTTTAATTTGTGTTTTACAGATCACATTCTCTTAACTTCAAGTTACTTAAAGTTATTTTGAAAGTGACACTTTAACAAATACAGAAATACGTCTTTTCTGCTCACTCCAGCGGAAGGGAATCTGATCTATAAAACTCAGTTAGAAAAGAATGCAGTTTGTAAAACTCAATCTAAAACAGGGAAATAAAAATAATGAAAAGAAAATAACTATTAATCCATTCACAATACATACTATCTGCTTGCAAAAATAATGTAACAAATTTCACTCCATAGCCCAGGAGGGATAACATGATTAATCTGCTGGAACTCACACTGTGTTACATTAGAACTTAATGAAATCCCAGCATTTTAGGAAGACCTTCAGTAACCCCAAACTCAAAATCCAAGATGGCTGCCTCTCATATAAAAAGCATTTTTTGTACCTCTGTCAGTTTGAATCAAAAACCCAAAAATAAAACACCAAATATGAAGATATTTAATGATCTTTGTGGACTCAACTTTTTTTTTTGTTGTTGTTTTAGAAGAGCTACATGTGTTTGCATCCGTATGTTTGCAGATAAGGTGGACGATCCGGTCATGGCGGTCCAGATAGCCTGGATGATGGAGGTTCCTCAGCTCTACAGACAGTTTTATGACAAACGCTTCGAGCTCAACGCAGCGGGGTACAGAAATCCACCCTTTAATGCCGATAACCTCCCTGTCAGATCCTTAAACAAAATTCAGTAACCATTCATGTTACAGCTGGAGACAGTTTATAGCAGTCTTTATCCATTCCTCGTTAGATAAAAATGTCTAAAATCTTCTCTGATTGGGTTTAGTTCTGGACGGTGAACCTCCACCACCGTCTCAGCTCTTCTGCGACATTCTGCCCTGTATCTAGCTCTACCCATCTTAACATAGAATTTGTTCATTTTCTCTGTCACCGCAGCATTATGCAGCCACCCCCATGTTTTACCATGGAT